GGCCGAAGGAATCTGCTAATTCCCAATATCTGACCAGTAGGAATCCCCTAAGTCCTAATATCTGACCGGTAGGAATCCGCTCATCCATAGGGGGGGTGCGGATAATAAATGGAATGACCCTATGCCCAGTTGAACAAAAAGAACTGTCTGGCCTATTTTTCATTCTTTTTAATCTTGAAATACTTGTTCAATTTAATTTTGGCCAAAATTCCAGAACCAGGACTACCCCTATAGCAGGGCATTTGACTGTGGTTTCTGCCTGTTCGGGCGGGCATTTGACAATTATTTTTTCAAAAGTCAAATTCCCCGGGGGAGCCCTAATCGCGGTTGGATTTGACTCGTACATTAATACCACATGGTTTTTGTATAAACTCTTTAAAGACACCCTATCACACGGTATACTTCAAACTTACTTGCTATTTTATCTTCTTTACTAAGCTCAGTCCATGGCTTCTTGGCTTTTTCCACAAGAGCCTCTGCGATATCATTTCTTTCCATTTCCACTGGGCTGTAATGTTCGAGTTTTGGGACAGGAGATATAGCCACCTCGGTTGCAAACGCACGTCGAGCAAACTTGGACAATAAACCGGTGCGAAGAAGGAATCTTGACGCCGACATTGTACGTCTTTCGTGTTAAATTTGGCCAATATTTTACACAAAACAACAAAAAATTATTTTTTTCCAATATGGCCGCTGTAAGTGAAATGCTTTGTAACCGAGCCTTCGAGAGACGGTATAGCTTCCACTTTCTTTAGAATATAATTCAAAATCCGACGTTTTTATGCTAATGTCATGTTTAGGAATTGAAATTCGCAACATTTTGGGCCTTTTATGATAATGAATGAATGTAAGATGGTCTTGATTCATGAAGGGTCCTCTAAATTGCATTTCCCAGCCCGTTTTTAAAAATCAAATCCCAGTCCCACAGTCTCCCACTGTGAAATTGAAAAAAAATCCCAGAGGTGATTCATCTATGACTCCATAAATTTGATGACTTTTAAACACAATGCTGGGTTCAATTGACCATTTGCGTAATAGACTGAATTTTGATCTCAACAAAAATTTCATCATAGCTTGAAAGAGCATCACAAAATTAGTAATATTCCAAAGTTTTGTTGCGAAATGTTGTAAAATGTGGAAAATATAGCCTTGCAAAGTTTGCAATTTTC